TTTCTCGTGATACATACGTTTTCGATCAAATCCTGGCGCGATTCATCCAAAATATGATACGCACAAGCGGGGTCTGCGCTTCTATTTTATTGGTTATCGGGTTCAGCTTCCCGCCCTTCTTGATCGACGTCCTCTGGCACGGTTCTACTACAAGATCACCGTGTATGAATGGCTTTGTTCTTCTTCCAGAATCATCCTAACGTCATCAATAGGTACCATCTCGTGACGTCACGTGAACTCAAGCATCTAGATGCGGCGTCCCGCTCACCCCATCTTTGTGTAGTTCTCGGAATCCTGGACTTTTCGCTATCCGGGCTTATGACCAACAAGCCGGTTTCATTGCGAACAATGCGGCGAGCATTGTTCGCAACCAGTTGTGCTACCTTCCTAGTACTTCCATCAACCGATGGCTTGCAGTAAGATTGGAGTTTGTTGGAGCAGTGATTATCCTCGTCACGGCTGTTTTGGCCGTCTCTGCCGTGGTGACCAGCGACGTTTATGCTGGGTTGATCAGTATAGTTCTGTCATACGCTTTGAACGCAACAGGTTCACTGGTGAGTGGCTTTCTCTTCGTCCCGAGGCATTGGTAACCGAGCGGCCGCAGAACTGGTTCGTCCGCTCCGCAAGTGAAGTAGAACAGAATGTCGTTAGCGTCGAGCGTATCTTCCATTACGCGAAAGACCTTGAGCCAGAAGCTCCTTATGAGATCCCTGAGAATAAGCCCACCTCTGGGTGGCCTACAGCTGGGGAAGTTGAATTCCGGTGAGTCCATGTCGCTGTACGCACGAAATTGTATTGAAATTGTCCGATATAGGGAATATTCAGCACGGTATCGGCCCGGGCTTGATCTAGTCCTCAAGGATATTTCCATGACCGTAGTCAGTTATTTCGCCGGGTTTCTCGCATATGTATGCCAACTCGAGATGCTCCAGAAACCGAAAGAGAACGTTGGAATATGTGGCCGGACTGGGGCAGGGTATGACATTCTGCTGGACTGTGACGATGCTTTTACAGCTTCTTCTTACCCTCTTCCGGATCATTGAGCCTGCATCTGGAGCTATTTTCATTGACGACGCAGACATTACCAAACTTGGCCTGCATGACTGTGCATCCTTTTTGAGTTGTCCATTTGGGAACTTGGACACCCCTTGATCTTGATCAAATCAACATAGTGCGGTCCGCGATATCCATCGTTCCTCAAAACCCAGATTCATTCGAGGGCACGTTGCGAGAGAACGTTGACCCTGTTGGCGAGCACCGGGATGTTGATATACGGACTGCTCTGGAGCACGTCCGTCTTTGAAATACGTTTGCGCTTCTGATGCTTACTAACGACACTTCTACAGGCCCATCTGAAGGCATACGTCGAATCACCTCCTGGGGCACTAGATGCTCCAGTCCAGGAGGCCGGATCGTCGCTTTCAGCAGGTCAGAGACAGCTCTTGCGTTTTGCGAGGGCGCTCTTGCGCAAGGTACGAGCGTCTCTTTTGGTTGATTATGAATTTTCATCACCGACGCTCCCTAGACTAAAATGCTCGTCCTCGATGAAGGTCTGTATGAGCGGTATCTTGTTCTTCTGCAAGGTTAATGTGCATGATTCTCTAGCAACATCTGCAGTCGATCTAGATACCGACCGAGCGATTCAAGAAACTATTCGAGGTCCAATCTTCCGCGATGTGACCATTCTAACCATCGCGTATGTGACACGTCCGACATCATCGACGATTAGTGCCAATAATGATCGTATAGGCATCGCTTGAACACGATCATGGAGTCTGATGGGATTCTGGTTCTAGATGCTGGAAGGGTAAGCACGCTCCAACGACGTTCATCCACAATTTATCTTCGATTGGCGAATTTTGATTGCAGAATTTGATAATTCAAAGAAGCGGCTGGAGAACAAGAGTTCTATTTTCCGTTCTATGGCGATGGAGGCTGGTCTAGTTCACGTCCAGCTTGATGATGCAGGAGAGAACGCGCGGGTGTGGAATATACCTATCATGCACAACATTTCTTGGGTTTGTTCAGAAATACAACATCATAGCCATGTAGACATTGCCACGTTCTTGCTCTGAATCTTATCTTTCGCTTGTCAGCTATTCAATCGTGATACTCGATAATGCAGTCGGGGTGCCCCGATACTCGCCTTGCGATTAGTACCGCAGAAGCATTGGATGAAACTAGGGCGTCTTTGCTACTACCCAATGCCTCGGAAGAAATGGAAGAGGTTGAAGGTGAAAAAGTTATTTCAGACGAATTTCCGTTCTCAATTGAAATTACTACCAGTAGGACTCCTCTCCAATAAATCACCCTGCCGAAAAATCTCAGGATCGTGTACTCAACAATTCAAGACTTGGGTTCGTACCAGTCCAAGATAATGTTACATGAAGAGATGTGCCAACACGTCTTCGAGGATCGAGCTCATGTCTCTGTTCCACGGGGAGTGACGGAATTTCTGAGAGCGCGGCATCAACTAGCCCATCGCCTTCAGCGAGTATCCCCATTCCAGCTGGAGTGTTGATCGCCATCAAATTTCCTGGGGTGGAGGTGATGCTAAAGCGATAAATTAGTCACGTGGAAATCATCGACGTTGCATTCTGACCAATCAAGTAACAAGCCGTCCGCAGACTCACGGAACTCGGGCATCCTAATCGCCCACATTGTCTGCGTCAGTAGAATAGTGACCTGTCCTCGAAGGACACGATCGTCAGGGGCGCTTTCCAAAGCAGCTTGGAGCGTCACCATAGTGGCCTGAAGATCCCCCATCTTGAATGGCGCTAACTCTGGCCCGTATTGAGATCGCAAGCGTAGAAACTGTGATTCATGCCCCTGCATCTTCAGGAAGTAGACCTAGAACGTTTTCGAAAGATGTCAGCAATCCTTCGTAGCCCTGCAGTCTAGACAAAGCCGTGCGACATTGGTGCGTGCGATGACGAATTGGCATTCGACTATGGGGTCCTCTTTCTCTTCGTACGCTGCTTCTAGGAGAGTAATTGCACAATTTATGTATTCTACATCCTGTTCAAGCTTTCCAAGGCATTCGCAAATCAGACCGAAGGTATGGAGGCCCCAGCCATCAGCTGAGAAGAGCTGGGAATGGCGTCTGAGGATGAAGAAGGCAGGTAAAAGGATATCTGTAGTGGGTGCACGGACTGTATTTGAATCATTTACAGTGACAAGAACGCGCGAGGCAAATTGCAGGTCTGCCATAGGCTTGAACCGCACGTTATACAGATATAGGGCAGCTGGCTTGTATTTACCACGTCTGCTGTCATGCTGACTGCATGCTCAAGTAATGTGCCTCGCTTCATGGCGGTTTGCTATTGCAGTCAATGTCTGGCCGATCCAAGCCAAAGTAGGATTCGGATCAAGAGGTTGCGCCTTTGTAAATGCTTGGGTGGCCCACCTAGTCAATGTCGTTATGATACAAGTATAGAAGACTGATCTTGGTTCACGCCACCATCAGTGAACCGGTGAAGAGATGAGATTGAGATATAAGGCAATATATTGTCGAACTTCGCAACAATCTGTGTAATTCTGCTGACTGCGTTCACATGGGAATGTATGGTAATGTCAAGGAAAGATCAAATTTGCTTCTTACGATTCTTCAATTGGATGGATCAAAGAAAAAATTCATGAGCACAAATTCATGAAGTTAAATATGGATCCAGCCTGAGAGGGATCATGAAGGAGGTTGCAATGTGGGGGAGTGAAAGACACTTCAGTGATGACACTTGTAGTGCCGATGTGTATCATTTGGGCTTCGTGAATATATTTTTGCTAGCTGAGGATGACTATCACATGCATGTTGTTTGCTCTAGGATAAAAAGTACGAGTCTGTGTTGCAAGAAAAAGCTGACACCAGAGTTGCATATATAACATTTTTATCTATCAACTGTCACACAGAACAATTCATTACATGGAGCGCAAAAACTGTTCCAATATATGTCAGATTGCATATGACATCTCAATGGACATCATTACTAGTCTGCCACTAACTTGGCGGTAGCGACAATGCTCACAAATATTTCGAAACTTGGTATGGCACCGTAAGTATACACTGTAGCGAGCTAAATGACAATGTCTCCCAATCTTTGGCATCTACATCAAATTATTCCGAAAATAACTAAGAGTAGCATTTCCCACACTGGTACTTAAATTGGCATCCGAGGTTGAGAATATGACCATCCACCATGCTGATGCCTACTTTTGCTCGATTGCTAAGGGACCACCATGACCTGTTCACTTACAAATTTTGGTCATACACATGGAAATTTATCGAAGAAGTTTATTAGGTAACCGAGGAGCAGCGCTGGAAGACTCGTTTGACATAACAAGTCATCGAAAAAATAAACAAAATTTCCAGAACCATCGTTGCCTGTTCCCTTACAATTTCTGATCACGCAGATAGAAAATTATTGAGGAGATCTATTGGGGGATCGAGGAGCAGTGCTGGATGGTTCGTTTGACATAACAGGTTGTCAAAAAATTAAACAAAGTTTCCAGGACCATTTGTCGCATGTTCACTCCCAAATTTTGAACACACAGATAGAAAATCATCAAGGAGATCTATTGGGGGAGGAGCAGTGCCGGGAGGCTCGTTTCACATACCAAGTCATCAAAAAATAAGTAAAGTTTCCAGGACCATCGTTATCTGTTCACTTCCGAATTTTAATCATGCAAACAGAAAATTATCGGAGAAGTCTATAACAGAATTGAGGAGCACGACCGGAAAGTTTTTGAAAACCATCAGTTGTCCCACAAATAATTGGATCTTCCCAAGTCATCTAACAGTTGTGCTTCGTCACATAAATTCAATAAGTGATAGATCACCACACATTAATACACTGTATATCAGAAAAGATGCATATTATATTCATCCTAGGTGCAGGGGACATTAACATTAACTAGTATATATCTAAGTGCAGCGGAGTAAAGAGAATAGTGATCGATGAAAAGATATAGCAGCGTGGAGTCAAGTAAGCAATCATGTCAAGTAACTAGTTGGTGAAGTATGCGGCATCCTCCATCTGCTGTCTCTGAGCAGCGAGAACATTGACAGACATTTGGATAGTAACATCCGCTGTCAAATCCTGTCAATGGTTTGTTCCGAAAACTCTGCTACACAGGAAATTAGCAATCCGCATGAGTCACTGGTAGATGACTTACTAACTGTGTCCACCACTCAAGAAGTTCCTTGACCCTGAGTCGCGCAGCTGGGCCCGGTGAGTCCTCAAAGAAGTCGACAACATTGTTCCAGAAGGTGTTATAGTCAAAATCTCCATCTACAGCGCGCCAAGAGGTGATGCTGGAAAGTGTGAATCAGATCTGCCAAATTGAATTTCAGTTTTTCAGTCGAGACAAAGTATTCAGACTTACTTGGCAAGCTGCATATGCGATCGCGCGAGGAGTTACCTTCCTCATACCTATTATGGAGGCGACACAAGTCTTCACTTTGGATTGATCCAATCTTCTCCAGGCGCGTCTATCGTTCTCAATAATATCAGCAGCATCACCATCACCATCTACTTCATTGGCAGAGGAGGGAGAGGTAAAAATAGCTTTGAATCCCTGTAATGCAATGAACCATGACTCTATCAGAAATTCAGGCCACTCACCATAACTAACAGCTTTGACTTAAATAGACCGCGCTCCAGATTTGTGGCATCCACTTTATAATTTTCATACATAAACGACGGCCAAGAATTTTCAGAAACGATGAAGGCAGTTGTGCGATCACAAATCCCAGCCCTGACACTGGACGACACCTCAGTCAACATCTGAGGACCAAGGACTGTCACTTACACTGGGTCCTCCCAGCGCCATTCCACTGGGCAAAGTAATTTACCGCAAACCTTGACCATGCTTATCGTTTGGCCTGATGAGCAAAGACGGATGACATTCAGTATTGACCCAGGAGCCCACAAGCTCCTTGAGAGTTGCTGTATCGTCACCACGAGCTGAGTCTGTGCCTCGCCTGAGCTACATCGGAAATGAGACAGAAATTTGACAGAAATGACGGGGCAGACCTTTCTAAGCATGTCCTCTGACTCTTCGAGGTCAAGACTTGCCAGCCTATCATGAAACCATGGCAGCACCTTGACAAGTTCGATATAGCCATGTTGAAGGCGATCCTGTCTATTCATCTGTTTAAACAAGCATGACAATATAAACTTAAATACTTACTCAAGAGTGCTAGAGTCGTCTCCATTCTCACAACACCAATCATTTTTGGCAACAATATCCTCTATAGGAATGAAAAGAACAACCAATCGACAAATTGCTCGTCCCTGCGAGACATAATAAGTGGTTTTCCTATAATGAGGTATGAAAACCGCTGTCAAGAGGTCAACAACGTGCACACCTTTGCTTGGTTGCTTTGTCCTGCTTCAAGATTTCGACCTCCTCCATGAGTGCAGCAATTCTTCGTTTTGCCCTAGCTTGAGGAGACGTATTGACAGAGAGTGATATGTGAGGAGCGGGAGGGCCACCCTCCTGGTCGTTCTCAGGTGTTGACATCTTGAAGATAAGGTAGAAAGAACTGCGGAGAATATGAGGAGGCGTGAAAGGGATGTGGACCCAAGGTGAAAGATCCGGCGAGATCATCTTATATACTCTCCATCTACGGCAGAATTAATTAGTCTCCAATAAGAAACAATGAATCTGCCATACTTGGTAACCTTTGGTAGCCTAAAATCAGGAAATTGTCTCGAACCTATTTTGGTGATCCACTTACAACCAAAAGTTCTAGTCCAAACATTTCTCCTTTGGGTTAGTTTAAGGAATGGTGAAAATTAGAAGATGTACTAAGTCGTGAAGTGTGGAAGCTTTGGTACTCGTAACTTAGGCGAGCCCGTGAGGCTGCGGCTGTCACAGGCTGCCAGTGAATCAAGCGATCGAACATCGAGTCACTGCTTCAAATCTCTTCACCGGTTCACTGATGTACTAGTAGTAGCTGCAGTAGTCAGACTTGGAGAAGTTCAGACTTGTTGATGAGTCCGAGTCAGCACCTTTTGAACAACCGGTGTCACGGTGTCATGGACTCATGGTTGTCCTGTTGTCATGGACTCACGGTTGTCCCGTATTGCTTGCTTGGTACCTCTCGGTACCACGCTCACTAGTACTAGCGGCATCAAACAATGGAAAGCGTCACTATGGTGCACTGCCCTGAGTCAGTCAGAGACTCACTGGCTGTGCAAGGCGCTCAATGGCAGGCTTGAGTGATTGGGACATGTATTACTTGACTAGTAGTAGGGCTGCCACGTGCGATCAACTCGGATGAAGTACATTATAGCTCACCTGCAATGATCATAGTGATGGAGCCAGCGGCCGCAACCTCAGACTATATAGAAACAAGTTGGGTGGTTGTCACTGTGTACGATCACGATGAAAGATCAGTGTTATGGTGTCGTTTCGGTCCGTCTCAGGCCGAGTGAGTTGTACATACTACATTGACTCGGACTCGGACATATAGGATGATACGATACATATCAAATACACTCTCAGGCTGTAACTCAAAATGAGAGATCATGAGATTCATCAACTTCCTCCTCAAGGTCATCAAGCCCATCTTTGGACTCTTCCTCACCCTCAAACATTTCATCTTCTTCATCCTCTGAATCTTCTTTGCGAAAGTCGACGACTATCCGTTGTTTGTTGTCGTGGTCCTCGCCGCCTTCGTCGACATCCATAGCCTCCCTCGAGCCCCTTCAGTGACAAATTCCATATTATACGGGCCACCCGACCTCCATAATATCCCATATGAGACGGGCCAGCTGATCATGGGCCCATGTTGTGTATATTCTCGATGATGACGGATGGGCCGGGACTCATATTATTTCTGATGGAGACGGGTGGGCCCATGTATGCCAATGATATATATATCCTTAATGTTGACGGATGGGCCGGGGGAATATGATCATTCATGGAGATGGGTGGGCCCATCTGGGTAATATGTAGAGTAGGATATTATAGACAGCTGGGCTGAAGAGAGATGTAAGGCAAATATTGTTATATAGACGGGTGGGCCGACGTGGGTGTATTACATATATGGGTGGGCCGAGGTAGGGGAATATTACATAGACGGGTGGGCTGATGTAGGGTGTATTACATATACAGGTGGGCCGACGTGGAATGTATTACATATACGGGTGGGCCCACGAAAGGGATATCAAATAGACCGGTGGGCCGAGGGTGCTATAAAATATTTATTACATAGACAGGTGGGCCGAGGTGGGGTATAATTATATAGATGGGTGGGCCGATGTAGGATGTATTATATAGACGGGTGGGCCGATGTAGGATGTATTATATAGACGGGTGGGCCAACATAGGATGTATCACATAGACGGGTCGGCCGACATGGGGGATAATACATAGACGGGCGGGCCGACAGGGGTGTATTACATATATGGGTGAGCCTAGATATGTTCCATCAAGACATACAGCTGATGTAGCCACCAGCGAATCAAACACATCGGATACATGTACACTATCAGTGCATATACCTACCATCAACCACCAAATCTAAACCCCTAAGCACAAAAACATGAATCTATCATGTGTGGCATTGACCAATAATCCAGGACTGAAGTGGAAAAACCCCACACCTGAACCCTGGTGTGCAACAAATCCTATTTTTAAGCATGGACACCAGAAGCACAACACTCACAAAAATATATATGTCAAATTTTCAGTGCCAAACCCCAAACCGAGATGTACCAACCCCCGAACCCCGAAACCCGAGAGTGCCGGGTCTTGGGTATCGGGTGTCCGGAACTCGGAACTTGGGAGAATTTGGGGAGATCAATACAATTTAATTTACAATCGAGTTGATTGACAACACATTGACTTACCCATGTTTGCAATATATTTTTGTTTAGACATACCGAGTTCCGAGTTCCGGACACCCGAGACCCGAGACCCGAGACTGCCAGGTCTCGGGTTTCGGGTGTCCGGAACTCGGAACTGGGGAAAATTTGGGGAGATCAATACAATTTGATTCACAATCAAGTTGATTGACAACACATTGAATTAACTATGTTTGCAATATATTTTTGTTTAGACATACCGAGTTCCGAGTTCCGGACACCCGAGACCCGAGACCCAAGACCTGAGACTGCCGGGTTTCGGGTGTCCGGAACTCGGAACTCGGTATGTCTAAACAAAAATATATTGCAAACATAGTTAATTCAATGTGTTGTCAATCAACTTGATTGTGAATCAAATTGTATTGATCTCCCCAAATTTTCCCCAGTTCCGAGTTCCGGACACCCGAAACCCGAGACCTGGCAGTCTCGGGTCTCGGGTCTCGGGTGTCCGGAACTCGGAACTCGGTATGTCTAAACAAAAATATATTGCAAACATGGGTAAGTCAATGTGTTGTCAATCAACTCGATTGTAAATTAAATTGTATTGATCTCCCCAAATTCTCCCAAGTTCCGAGTTCCGGACACCCGATACCCAAGACCCGGCACTCTCGGGGTTCGGGGGTTGGTACATCTCGGTTTGGGGTTTGGGGGTTAGTAAAATGTTTACAGATATACATAGGTTGATTTAAACATGTCTGGAAGATGTCGTTCGTCTAAAATGTCAAATCCTGAGTTCCAGGTGTCGGGACTCGGTACCCGGCACCCGGGACTCGGGGTTCGGCACTGATAATTTGACATTCGGGTGTTCAGGTTTCGGGTGATATCTATCTCAATCTGCAGTTTCGAGTTCTGGATATCGGGAGTGATCATTGAATGATTCAATTGTGGCATAGGTAACATGCATGGAAAAACATTTATGTACATCTATCACTGAGCAATTATGTAGCCATGTCAACCTCCTCACCAGGAAGATCAACCTTTCCCTCAACATCCATCTCATCATCAGAAGAATCATATTCTGGCAGGAGGTTACCTGGTTCATTAGGGACCACAATATCGCCGGAGGATTCTGGCAGGAGGTTGCCTGGTTCATCAGGGAGAACAATTTCGCTGGAGGATTGTGGACCCTCAGGCTGAACTTGGGTGGGCTCAACCATGGGACCTACCACAGCAGATTCATGCTCAGGCGTCAAGGGTGTAGGTTGCATGACTGAAAAGTCCAAATCAATGAGGTTGGAAAGTGCGGAGGGGAGGGGTGACATGGACGGGGGGGACCTCCTTGACCAAGCAACATTATTCCATCGGCCGGTGTGTCCGGAAGTGAAAATGAAGGGTGCTGGTCGACCACTGTGCGCCGGAGGCTCTCATGGAGGCGTTGCAGGGTATCAATCTTAGCGTCCTGCTCCTGCACCCGAGCCTCAAGAATAGCGATGCGAGCTGCACCATCCCGAATCGCGATTGCCATGGAATGGAGATCCGGCATGGGAACATTGAGTGCTGCACGAGGCACTGCGACGCTGGAAGACCTGACTGCTAAGTAAAAAATTTGGTCAGCCGGTCATCAAAAGTATGGGTGACTTACCAGCTGGCGCAGGTGCAGGGACAGGTGCAGGGACAGGTGCAGGAACAGGTGCAGGTGCAGGTGCAGGTGCAGGTGCAGGTGCAGGTGTCTTCTTGGTAGTGATGGTCTTTCTGCGACCACATGACTGCACCTGGGGTGTGGTTGCAGCAGGGATGGCTGGAGTTTGGGAAGGGCCACGAGATTGACTACGAGTTTGGGCCCTTGACTGGGAGGGAGATGGAGCATTGGATGGAGCAGGGGCAGGTGTCTTGGAATGTGTCTGGCCGGTGGTAGACTTCCCTTGGGTCCATTTGGGCGGGGATCCCAGAGATGCAGGGTTGCATTTGATCTTCTTGGTGGAGCAGCGGATGCAAGACAAGCAGGGGAGGCTGGACCTCTTGTCCAATCGAGTCGCACAGGGCCAATTTTCCTTGACACAATAATGGCAGGGGTTGTTCTGTAGTATCCATTAGTAGATGGACTAAGGGGAATTTATTTGAGTACTCACTGGGCCGGGAATGGTGATATCAAATGTGGTAGTGGCCGGCGGGTCACCATCCGAAGCACTGGAAGTATCATTGGAGGACTCCTCCTCAACTTCCGGATGCCTGCCGGAGGTTGCCTGACAGATTGTTAATACACATGAGTTTCTGGAAAACTTCTAGGACTTACCCGAGCCTCCGGACGACTGATGGGAGATTTCTAATGTAATGGGAATCAGTTGGAATTATACATGGGAGGTCCGGACATGTCCAAATGACTCACCGTAACCTCTGGACGACTGCCGGCAGTCAGCTGTGGACACATGAGCATATATTCAAAGTCCAAACGAAAAATGCAAACTTACCGAAGCAGGCCCAAATGATTGCTTCTTGGGGGAACCGGGTGACCGAGGCGACTAAGGCTTCCTTACCACAATGGTGCACTGGGGAAGGACGACTTCCAGCACTCCACGTGAAATCGGCTGCAACAAATTGAGAGCATGTCAGAAATCAGCCAGAACACATACCTGAACAATTGGGTCTTCATCATCTTCCGACTCCACAAACGGCTTCGACTTGGGGAGTTGAGTTGACTTGACACACTTGCGAGCCTTCAGCGCCGACTTTGGAGGTTGGGAGGAGTGTTCCGAAATCATTGGAGACTTCCTCTTGTTGCTCCCCCCAACTTCTGGCGACAGGTCGATGGAGGTGGCCTTACCTTTTCCTTTGTCCCGGACCTCGGGGGTCGTCTTGCCGGAAGGTCCAGCAATGACCGGAGGTGAGGGAATGACGGGGGTGGGGGAAGGGACAAGTGCAGGTGAAGGGACAGGTGGAGATGGAAGGTTGAGAGTGAGTGGGCCAGTGGAAACGTTAGGGACAACAGAGAGATCACAGGAATTGTCACCCAACGCCTCCCAGGCACGGACTTGCTTGCGCCAGGTGTGTCTAGCCACCCGGGGGTCATCGTGGCCAATGCTGTGCCAGTTGGGCAATGCCCGAGGAGTCATGGAACGCACCCTCATCAGCTCCTTAGAGCAGGACACCACAATTCCAGGGATGTACTCCCCTTTCTCATGGACCCGGATGATGTCAGCCTACCCGGACATTACAAACATTAATGTTACACTAATTTAATAAGTTCAACATACCAAAAGAGTGGTGACCTGCTTTGTTAGAACAAGGTGGACGTCTACAGAGCCGGCCGGGATGTGCCGGGCGCCGGCAATGATGCCCACAAGTTGAGCAGTGGATGCCTTGAGGTTGGCCAATGAAGATTGAACTTGAGTAGACATTTGGATGGAGTTGACAGATGTGAGAATGTTGAAAGCAGGGTGAAATCTGTTATCAATAGAATGAAGTTTCAAAGAAACAATACAATTGAAGGACGAGGTTGAAAATTCGTTGATTGTTTGTGTTTGTTTGGTCATCGTTCAACTTTCGGCAATCGCCGGCCATCTGTTGAACTTCGACGTTATCAGTTATCAATCAGTTCATCAGTGCATCAGCTCATCAGATATCATGAGCTCTCAACCTGGGGTCAGATTTCATGACCCTCCGGTCACTGAATTTACTTCAATGGATGTGGATGAGTCCTCCCAGTCCCGGATGTCCCTTGGTATGTTTTGTTTTTTCTGATTTCAGTCAATTGATCTGACATGGTTCAGATCCATTAGATGATATATACCTTGGGCCGGATGATGAGTTAGACTCTGATTCTGGATCGTCCAGTGGTTTGGATGTGTTGAATGTAATTCCCAGTATGTTTTCCAATTCAAATG